TGTTAGTATTTGTTTTACACATTTGGCTGTTCCTATATTGGCATATATGTTAATAAGTATATCTTCTTGTATTGATCCCTTTATCAGTATCTAATTTCATTCTTTGTCCTTTGTTATTCACTTTGATTTAAAGTTTATTTTGTCTGATATGAGTATTGCTATCTTTGTTTTTTGTTGTTTTCATTCTCATGAAATACCTTTCCCCACCCCCTCACTTATCAATATAGCATCTTTAACCCTAAAGTGAGTCTCCTGTAGCAACATATTGAAGATACTTGTTTTGTTTTTTAATCCAACTTTCCACTCAATGTCTTTTGACTGGAGCTTTTAGTCCATTGACATTTAAAGTAATTATTGATTATATGTATTTATTGTCATTTTAAACCTTATTTTCCAGTTGATTTTTCAGTTCTCTCTGTTTCTTTCCTTTTGTCGTTTGATGGTTTTCTCTTGAATTATGCTTGAGCTTCTTTCTTCTTGTTTTGTGAATCTATTGAATGTTTTTGATTTGTGGCTACTCTGGTTTTCAAGTATGTTAACCCAGAATTATATCTGTTTGCATTACACTGACAGCTGTATAAGTTCAGGCATATTCTTAAAAAAAAAAAAAAAAAAAACTACAGTTTTTACTTCCTTATTCTGCATTTTGTGATTTTTAAATCCTATTTTACATCATCATGTATATATTTTTTTCTGTTAATTGTAGTCATAGTTGCTTTAATAAAATTTTTATTGTTTTAAATCTATGTACTAGTTTCTTTAAGTGCTGTTTAATCCTTCTATTAAATTGGCCTATCCTATTGTGGTTTTACCCTTTCTTACATATTTTTGCTTCTCTTCTATTTAGAGAAGATCTTTCATTATTTTTTAGGATAAACTTAATGCTGTATTCTTGTAGTTTTTGCTTGTCTGAGGAATTCTTTGTTTCTCATTCTATATTAAGTGATAATCTTAATGGGGAGAGTATCCTAGGTTGCAAGTTTTCCCCTTTCAGAACTCTGAATATATATTGCAAAATATATATTCTGGTTTGCAAATTTTCTGTAGAGAAATCAACCTGTGGGGATTCCCTTGTAACTGACTCTTTGTTTTTCTTTTCCTTACTTTTGAATCCTGTTTAACTTTTGTCATTTTAATTATGATATGTCTTGGTGTGGGCTTATTGGGTTCATTTTGTTCAGGACCCTCTCCACTTTCTATACCTGTATATCCGTTTCCTTCTTTAGGTTTGGAAAGTGTTCAGCCATAATTTCTTCAAATACGTTTTTGATCCTCTTCTTTTTTTTCCCTTCTGGGACCCCTATCGTGTATAGGTTGGCATGCTTTAAATGACTCCACAGATCTCATATGCTGCTTTCATTTTTTGTTTCAATTTGTCTTTCTGTCTGTTGTCCTGAATGGTGTGATTTTCATTATTCTATCTTCCAGATCACTTATTTGTTCTTCTGCATTATTTAGTCTGCTTTCAGTTCTGTTTTTCTGTCAGCAATTGCGTTGTCTAATTTTGATTGTTTCCTCTTTATAGTTTCCAGTTTCTTGTTACAGTGACCTGCATTTCTACTGAAGATCTTAATTCCTTTAGCATTTTTATTACTTTTTTTCAACTCAGGATCTAGTATACTGAAGAAGTCTGTTTCATTGATTATTTTTAGGGAATTTTGCTTGTTCTTTTTATTGAGACTAGTGCCTCTGCTTCTTCATTTTACTTACACTTCTGTGGCTCTACAAATTTAGAAGAAATAGTTACTACCGTAGTCTTGAGGGCTGTTTTTATGTGGGAGCATCCCTATATAGACTATGTGAGTCTAGTATCTTTGTCTCGAGAGCTGTCTTTGCTATGGATGCCTGTCACATCTTTGCCCAGAGTGTGCTGGCCGTTATCCCCCTGATAGAGGTTATGACCGGTGTTGTGTGGAGATCCTGCACTGGACGTTGGGCAGCGCCTCCTCTTCTCTCTGTGACTGTCACAGCCGTGTTGGGGATGGGGTCTACTTTCCAGTTGTTGCAGTAGAAGCCCTGAAGTTTGTGTGTGAGCCCTTGAGTTTGTGCTCTGTGGTGAGGAGATGAGTGCTGAAGCAAGAGAGGCTCATATGCCCACAGCGAATGCATGCACCACCTAAGCAGGCATCCGGGGTTCTGCTTAGAAGCAGCCCACGTGGCATTCCTTTCTCTGCAGTGTTTGTCCCTGACCTAGTGTAAGGCTGGCCCTGTGGATCAGGGCATTGTGGCTGCAGAAACTGAAGTGGTTGAGCTGCCACCTGAGACCTGAGTTGCCTCTGTGGTAGGGCTCTCCCAGGGCCTGTCCCCCCCAGATTCTAGCTTCAGGCTTTGTGTGAGGTGGGTGGAAGTGGAGCACTCCTGCTGGGAAAGGAACCACTGCAAGCTTCTCCCTAGGGTCTGTCCACTGGAGACATGTGATTCTGTGGATTATGCCCTCACCTGATATGCATGCCAACAAAGTCTGCTGCTGCAGGACCCCCTGACCCCTACATGTCCCTGCTGTGACAGCACTGATTATGGGCTCAGATATCAGCCTCTTCCCCATAGTGTGTGTACTCACAAAGCCTGCCGGTGGAGCTGGGCCCTGCCACAAGCAGACTAACAGTGGGCTTCCTAATGGTAAATCCACACCCTGCCCTGTGTGTGGCAACCACAGGCTCTGCTCCCCAGTTGTTGCAGTAGAAGCCCTGAAGGTTGCATTTGAGAAGGCCCTTAAGTTGGCGCTCTGTCCCAAGGGGGTGAGTGCCGAAGCAACAGAGACCCACGTGGTCACTGCGAACCTATGCACCACTGGTGCAGGCACCCCCGGTTCTGCGCAGAAGCAGTTCAAGTCGCATCCTTTTCTCTGTTGTGCTTGTCCCTGACCTAATACAAGCCTGGCCTGGAGGTTAGGCCTGGACTACACTCCTGCCCTCTGGGCTGTTTCTGCACATCTAGACTGAGTCCGTTCCTGGCATCCATCCACAGAAGCCCAAGTTTCAGCAGTCGTCCACTCAATGTACTAGCAGCTCCACCTGAAGGACATATAAGGTTGGGAAGTGCACTGAGGTGGCCGCCATCAGAGCCAGTGTCTCTGTCCTGACAGCTAACAAGCCAGCACATGCAGACTCCTCACGGGCAGAGTCCAGGCCCCTCCAGATCCTCCGTCTGGCCAAATGGACCTCCCAGCCAGTGAAGGGGGTTCCCCAGGGGAGGGGTCACCTGTACGGACTTTTCTTCTTTCACAGCTTGCTCCCGGGGCACTGGTCCTGCTCCGGTGCCTTTTTGTTACCCTACCAGTTGTGTGGGGATCTTTCTTGCAGCTTTGGTTGTGTAAGAGGTCTTCTGCTAGTTTCCAATGACAATTTTAGCACATGTAGATGTCTTTTTGATGTGTTTTGGAAGATGGTAAGCGGCACATCCTTCTAATTCACTCTCTTTACCTCCCATTTTGGAGTCTTTCTCATGTCTTTAGATAAGTATGAAAATCAGCTTGTACTCTTTTGGTGTCTGGCTGCTGAATAGTGCAAAGAGACATCTAAAGGGTGTTACCTGGCAGAAAGATGTCAATTGTCACTTGACATTGATATCGTCCAATATAATATTCTGGCTGAGGGGCCAAATTTGCTTATTAGGTGAAATGATACAGACAGACTGCATTTTAGTCTTCAAACACAAGTTGCAAATGACTGTGTAATCAGATAACTACATGGAATGATTGAGCATATAACTCAGTTGAACAAAAATAAACATGTGATTTAAATAAAATGAGCAAAATTTAAATCACTGCCAAATAATTTAAGAAATAAGCTCCACAAATCCTAAAAAATTGAATAATATGCAGTTAAAGCCTCCTCTCAAATAGTTTTTATTCCTATCTTGAAAATCAAAGCTTCAAGCACAGAATTCCATTCTAAATTGAATTTGGTTATTCCTAAGAAAGTCATTTGTTTCCTTAGATTTTCCATTTATGAAGAAATATTTGCATTCTAAGTGAGCACTGCAAAGATTATTTGTGTAAGACAATATTAACATAGTGTTCAGAATGATATTTTCAAGTACAAAAATAAATATAAATGTTACCAAAACCACATAGCCTTTGCAAGTCCTGTGCTGCCCTAATGGGAGGCCCTTCATCCAGATGCTAGAAGATTCCTTTAAACTTGGCCTTCTATGATCAGGATAGGGCTCAGGAAACTGATGATCTAAATTCTTAATTTATGTCATTAACTAATATCAACATAAAATCTGAGAGGCCTCAAGCTACACATGATCTTAGTTAAACATCTTTCTTCTTTTCCATTAAGTTTAGTGTCATTCTCAAACCAAATCTTTAACTTAAATGAGAAACCTTAATGGCCTATGAAGAAAATCTATAACAGCAAATTGTATCCAAATATGAAAGCATTACATATTTATGACTAAATGTTTAATAAATGATGAACCATTTAATTGAGAGCAATGCCATTATGTGGACATTATAAACTTTTCTCATAAATCTGTCACTGAAATATCTCTATTTTATCATTTTCAAATCTTAGAAGCAACTCACATAGGGAAAAGCAATGGGCTTGAATGGGTTTTGGTGAATGTAACAATCAGTTTAGACAGGTAGCTATTTTTACACATTGGGTGATTTTAGTTTATTCTTTTATAGTTTTTAGAGTAAGAAGAACTGTCTCTGCTTCCATTTCCAACTTTAAATGTCATGTTAAGAATGTATAATCAAACCCTTAAGGGGAAAAATTATGAACCATATGCAGGGTGAAGAAAATTGCTTAGGTTAAGTACTGCTTCCAGACTTTTCCAGTGACTACCTGCATGACCTCAGGTTAAGCCCTTCACTGCTATGGGCAGAAGCTCCATCTTTAAAATCTGGAGGTTTGCTTAGATCTACTTTGAAGTCACTTTCAGTTCTCAAAATATCCAATAGCTTAAATTCTGGAATAGTCATGATGTACTGTGAGTAGTCAACAGGATAACATATTTCAGTGATGAATTTTTATTTCAAGAATACTTACAGTTAAGGCTGGTGGTCCTGGAGGTCCCATATCTCCCTAAAGGATGAAAGAAAAGCTGCAATTACCAATAGTCCCTTCTTGCTCACATTATTTACAAATTTTATGAATGGATCAAGGCAATATCTAGATAAATATGGGTAGAAAGAAGAGTATAATTTTATCTTGATAACATGTCTTCACAATGAAAATTTTATCACATGCTTTTAGCTATCATGATATAAAAATCACCTTGTGCATCCCCATGCTTTCTGCAGCAGCAGAACTTGTTTTGAAAAGCTAAAATAATCTAATTTCTATTCTTTTGTCTACTAATCCAAAATTAGAAAGAGTATCTCTTCAAATATGGTTACTTGCCAATGGAGCAGCTGGGAAGTGTCACAATGACAGATTATATTTCTGACAAAGTTAGCACAGTAATAATAAGTGGGTCAGCAAAAATAATAAGTGGGTCTCCCCACTTTATGCGTTCAGCAGCCCCATTGCCTCTTATAAAGCTTTGCTGAACTGGCCTTGCACTTGCGAACATTTGTAAGAGGCTTTACCTATAGTCATGAAATTTTAAATACTAACGTTGCTTTGCTGACCATTACATGAATACAAATTACCAGGTAGATATATTGAAAAACAATTCAAAATCTAAAGAATATGGTTAACCCAAATGTTTATTATTTTTCAATTTACATATATGTCACCTATATGCTTTATTGTATCAGCGTATGTATTTATTTCATGGGAACTCTTGGTCATTAAGATCAAGCATCACAGAGAGAGGCAAGACAGGGGTAGGGAATTAAGAGGTACAAACCACTCTGCACAAAGTAAATAAGCTACAAGGATATATAGTACAACAGAGGGAAGATAGCTGATATTTTATAATAGCTTTAAATGGAATATAAGCTATAAAAATTTTGAATCACTGTGCTGATTCAAAATGAATCATTATGCTGATTAGTATACCTGAAACTAATAAAATATTGCAAATTAAACTATACTTCAATTAAAAAAAATTTAGGGCTTTCCTGGTGCCTCAGAAGGTAAAGAATCTGCCTGCAATGCAGGAAACCCTGGTTCAGTCTCTGGGTTGGGAAGATCCCCTGAAGAAGGCAATGGCAACCCACTTCAGTATTCTTGCCTGGAGAATCCCACGGACAGAGGAGTCTCATGGGCTAGAGTCCACGGGGTAGCTAAGAGTTGGACACAACTGAGCAACTATCATTTTCACTTTTTCAATAAAAAAGAAATACTTTTTAAAAAGGCAAGTCTTAGAATGTTAAATTTGACAATTAGAGACCCTCCATCTCATCAAATCCCCTCATTTTGTAGATAAATATATTGAACCCCAGAGTGCTGATGGTGAATTAAATAAAGTTATTGCATAAAGAAAAAAAAAATCAAGTATTGCTGCCATAACCCCTCTTCAAGTGGACACCATGGAATCATCACTGTGTGGCAGGGTGCACTGGATATTGTAGTCTCATGTGGGAGTCTCTCTACAACATTCGCTTTTCTCACTTAACAAAATCACCTGAAAACTGAAGACTCGGCCTTGTGTAATCATTATTTTGGGAACTACTGAATAAAAATAACCAACAGTTGTGAAAGAACATTGATGAAGTTTAAGTCAGTCACTGGGGACCAGTTTGCAGTCAACTTTATTTCAAAGGTAAATACTGGAGACAGACAAAGATTTCTAAACATGCTGAGAATGGAGAACAAAATACAGTGCAAGATGCCCATATGTACAACTGTCATCAAACTAGGATCACCCAGTGACCTTACTCCAAACAACTCATGCTTTTTACTGTCTCATAATTTTCTTTTCAAGGTCCCTGCCGATAGGCCACTATAAAATGACATGAGAAAATGCGGCAGGAAGAGTGGCATTCAGATTAAGACTGAAATGCACAATTAACCTCTTTCCCCACAAAGTCCACCTGCTTCACCATGGTAGCATCTCAGTGCTACTGGCAAAGTTCCCCAGTGCAGGACATAACTGCGAATTTGTGATGGAATGAATACTTAATGGTGTTGAGAGAGGGAGAAAAAAGGGAAATCTTATAAACAAATTACTGTTGACTAGCAATTGTGCATTTAGTCTCTTCAAACTAACTGAATGAACCAAAAGGCTTTTCTTGTTCAGTTTTTTTTTTTTTTTTAAACATAATAGCCTTTGGCTAATTTTAACAAAGTTACATTTCGGCTGTTAAACGGGATCAGTGAAAAATCAGCGCATAGGTTCTCAGGGTTTTCTTGAGAAAAGACTGGGCAAATACAGTACCTTTTCTCCTTTTGGGCCAGGAGGACCACGAGGACCCAAGTCACCTTTCACACCCTGTACAAAGAACACAACCAATGTGATTTCTATACACAGTTCACAGAAATCTTCAATTTCTGACAAGTTATTAGTTGAGATTTAAAATCATAATTTACTGTATTTACTCCCAAATCCCATTCTTCAGTGTGTGGTATAGAAAAACTGGCACTGAAATGATATACAACATCTGTGCTGTGGTGGGTACAGATCCATTAAGTCAGTGCGAGGCCGCAATACTGCATATTAGTGCAACTTTGCTTCCTGCTAAAATTACATTAATTCACCATCTGGGAGAGCATCATCTAAAGATCTATATGAGCTTTGAAGTATCCACTTTGGATTAAATTTGTCAATCTTGTAAATATCTCTGATTTAGTATTCATTTGGCTTTTTTAAAGCTCGCCCCTAAAATTCAAGGTTTAAATCAAAAACATTTTTTTGTCTGTATGGAGAAATCTAATTGTGAGGGGAAAAGGATGAAGAATATATTCTTTTCCCATCCCTCATAAAGTTGGGGCTAAAATGCAGTCTTCTCTCCTGTTTTAAAGCCTGGTTTGTTTCTCTAATTCTTATTTTTTTTTTTTACCTGGATTTATAAAGACAGCAGTAAAACTATATAAGACATAGCATATCTGATAAACATACTCATGAGTCTTCTGGACTGTTAGGTGTTTTAGTGGGCATCTGGTTGATCTGACTCAGAATTTGACAGCTGTCAGGAATACCACAATAGGTTTCACTGGAGATCAGTGCTACAGCTGAACGTTTTCAGTGCAAATAGGAAGGAAAGACAGGCATGTCCTGTGTGGTAAACAGGAAAAATACTTTTTCTCATCCTTAACACACTGGATGAGGGAAGAACAATAACAGAAAAAAGTATTCTGAAGCCATAGAGTACACAGTAAATCCAGGCATCTTACTGTTCCCAATTGAGGAATCCAGCTCTTACTGCTCTGACATTTTACAGTGAATAAACAATGCCAAATGCTATCACTTGTAGCTACCCAATATAGAAGCTGATGATGAATTTAAAGGGACAAAATAAAACCAGATATGTAAAATAATCTTGTTAAAACTTGTTACCTTGTGAAAACTGCAGTCTTATACTTTAAGAAAAAAATTTAATAGATGAAAATACCTAATTGGTTAAAAAAGAAAAAATCAAAACACCTTTGTGGTTGCATAGACTCCTTCGTGAATAAAATTCGTAGCTATGCTTTCTTCCTTTATTACCTCTGGGTATTTATAAAAAAAAGATGAGTGAAGAATTAAATTATAAATGAAATGTGATACTCTCTTATTATTTGAAATATCCATTCCTTTCCAAATCAAGCAACACATACTCTGTTTATACATGCCTCTGGAGTAAAACTTGGCACCAACATACTCTGAACACTTGCAGAAAGAAAATGGCCATTTCTGTGAATCAAGTTTATTCTTAGTTAAGTCATCCATTTATTCAGTGGACATTTACTGGATACCCTCTGTAGAGTCACCACTATAATCATCAGATCTGCACTGCCCAATATGTAGCCCAGGGCCACATGTAGCTTTTCACCCTTGAAATGTGACTGGTCTGAGTGGAGATATGCCATGAGTGTAAAATACCATTGGGTTTTCAACATTTGGTACAAAGAACTGAATGTACAGTAGCTCCTTAGTAATTTTTATGTTGGTTATGTATTGAAAAGATAACATGCACATGAGATTAAATAAGATATATTATTAAATTCTTTTCACCTGCTTCTTTTTACTTTTTAAAATGTGGCTATGAGAAAGTATAGCATATTTATATTTGTCTTAAAATTGTATTTAAAATCTATTATATACATTTAGTATTATATAATATATATTTTATTTATATTAGATAGTGTTATTGAGAGACATTAAAAAAAGAACAAGAAGTTCAAAAAGACTCTCTCATTAAGCAAACTTGAGTTGGGTTCCTATGAGCCCTCTCCTTGACTTGGCCTCAACCCTGGCCCCTGTCCATCCATGGCCTGCCTGGCCCAGTTTTAGCAAGAATCTTGTTAAGTCAGTTTAGAGAGAATCCCTCAGCCTTGATGTCTGTTCTTAGCGTATTCCATTCAATGATCACAACTCTCTATTCCTTGGCTGTAGATCCCCAGTCATCCTTGCTATATTCAGAGTTGAGGCCAATCTCTCTTCCCCATTGTAATACTCATATTGTGGTAATCTTGAATAAAACTCTTCTTTACCATTTTAGGGTTTCTCTGGTGGCTCAGAGAGTAAACAATCCACTTGCAATGCAGGAGACCCAGGTTTGATCCATGGGTTGGGAAGAAACCCTGGAAAAGGAAGTGGCAACCCACTCCAGTATTCTTGCCTAGAGAATTTCACGGACAGAGGAGGCTGGCAGGCTACTGTTATGGGGTTGCAAAGAGTCAGACACAACTGAGCGACTAACACTTTCACTGCTTTTTCACCATTTTAGTAAGTGTCAGAATAATTTTTCCCTTAGCAAAGTCAGATTTCCTGCTGCAGTGGAGTTCATGGTGTAGAGGAGGGTGACTGACCGTGACCAGGTCCATAGGCTGAAGGTGCTGAGTGCAGGGCAGTGGGGGTAGCGGCTGGAAACGGCCTCTGTGAGGAGGGGGTGTTTGCTGTTGTCTAGGATCCAGCCTTGCACTGAGCCTGGGAAACAGTGCTGGGGGAGGGGTAAGGGGCCAGCAAGCACAACAGCCCCTGGATGGAAGGAGTGTCATGAGCAAGTGAGGAGGCGAGGAGTGGGATGTGAACTCAAGGGTAGTCAGGGGTCATGGCACATAGAGAATTGTAAACTGTGGAGAGAAGGCAGGGTTTTGATCTAAGGGCAAGGGGAAGCCATTTAGGGTTTGATGGTGTTTCTAGAAAAAGAGAGTTTTGACTACAACATGAAAATAGATTGCAGGCAGCAAGAGCAGAAGCAGAAAGGGGCTCTCACAGCTTTGCAGGCAAGAGAAAAAGATGGCCAGAAGTGAGAACGGATTTGCAAATGCTGGAGGTGGGCCCTGGGAAAGAAGGGCCCAAGGCTGATTTGTACTTAGCTTCAGTGACTGGCTAGGAGGCTGGGCTGTTTACTAAGCTGGGAAGTGTACTAAAGAGGGGTCTTTTCTCTTCCTACTGGTAGAACATCATCCAGAGGGGGAGAAAAAAACAAACATGAAGAAAGAAATAGCTGAGAAAGACAGTGAATATTCATTTCTGCAACAGATATGGAACATCTATACACATGCAAGACAGAACCCTGTATTACCATGAACAGATGAGTAGGAAGACGTTGTTTTTAATAATGGGAAGGAATATGAAACACAATATTCAGGAAAATGATTAACTCTGGAGTGGGCATGGCATTATGTTGAGTTCTGAGTACATTCTACGATTCACAAGCATCATATATGTTACACGTTAGAAAAATACTGTTTGAAGTATAAACTAATACATTAAAAATTTTCAACACTCCTACCTGACAGACTAACTGTAACTGCAACTTCTGGAGAAGGGACTTATGTGCCGACATGTCAAGCAAGTACCTGAGCTATCCCTGGTTCAATCATCTATGGTCAGGGACAAGGTGCAGTAATAGAGCAACCAGCCACAGGCTGACGTTAACTCTGAGGACCATGGTAAATGTGCCAGCAGGAGTGCAGGGGGCAGGTCCCAGAGATGCCTAATTCTCTAGAAGATGCTCATGACTTCAGACATGTCGAGTTCAGAAGAGTCAATAAAGGATTCATGCATTTTTCTCAAGTAAGTTAATTAAGTTTCCCTATAAAATAGGTATAAGTAATCATTGTCTTTATGGAAACAACCTAAATGTCCATCAACAGATGAATGAATGAAGATGTGGCACATCTATATAATGGAAGACTCCTCAGTCATAAAAAAGAATGAAATAAGGCCATGTGCAGCAACATGGATGGACACAGAGACTGTCACACTGAGTGAAGTTCAGTCCAAACCAGAAAGCCCACTACCATATGATGTCATTTATCTGTGAAACCTAAAATATGACACAAATAAACCTACCTGGGAAACAGAATCACAGACACAGAGAACACACTGGTGGTGGCCAGTGGAGAGGGGGCTGGAGGAGGGCGGGGTTAGCAGACATAAGCTTTTTATATACAAAATGGATTAAAAAACAAGGTTTTACTATATAGCACAGAGAACTGTATTTCTATGATAAACCATAATGGAAAAGAATATATATATATATATATATATATATGAATGCATATAAGCATATAACTGAATCACTTTGTACAGCAGTAATTAATAGAACATTGTGAATCAACTATACCTCAATAAAAGATAATATCTGTCTTGAAAAGTTGTTCTGACACTCATATGTTTAAAAATACTTGACACATCTAAGGTACTTGATAAATGTTGCTTGTGCTTTTCAAGCTGAATTCCAAGGGATACTTAATTGTTCTGTCCAGTTTTGTAGCCAGTTTGATGGACATGCGACAGCTGTCCTTTCACTCACATAGAATAAAATGCAATTGGGAAGTACTGCACTCATCAAGCCTCTACTTTTGTCACTGGCCACTGAAGTGCATCCATGGAGCTCATGTACCATGCTGTTAAGGTCATGGCATCATAACAGGCTCTAAGAAGCAGATCAGTAATGCTTTTCTCAAGTGTAATTTTTCTCCCCATGTGACGCTAGTGTTGCTATCAATGGCTATTCAGCACTGGAGAAAAAAAGACATAGCACTCACCATAAAGCATACAGAATATAATGCATCAGACTCTGAATTTAATAATGAATAAGAGAGGCATCTACTACCACTGTTTGCTATAAAATGTTTGTACATAAAGATGCTCAAAAGCACAGTAGTGGGCTCTGTATGTTATGAGAGACAGGTACTCTTATCCAAATGCAAGATGAACTTACTTACAAAACAAGAGACAGATTCAGAGACACACAGATTCACACAGATTCACACAGATTCAGAGACACACAGACATAGAAAACAAACATGGTTACCAGGGAGAAGGGGTGGAGGGAT